TTTCAATTGTTTTGCAAACTAGTCAAAATGAGAATACTGGAAAATTAAGTTCAGCTTTAAATTTAACTTTAACTATTTACTATATCACAAATCATAAAAATATTTTCTGAAAATTCATCCAGTTATTTTAGTTATTCAATAACAACACATTGTAAATGTACTCAAAAAAAAAAAAAAAAAAGAACGTTTCTTGCAGAATTTTATACAACATTTTTTCCTTATCTTTATCCAAAGTATAAACCGCCGCGATTTACCGGTGAAAAAGAACCCGGAACACTCGGTATAAAAACTATTTTCCCTCGCAGTAACGTCTCAGCGTTCTCCATTAAGTTGCGCAAGCTCCGTATCAATCGCAAATGAGCGAACGATTTTTTTTTCCCTCTCTCCCTTTCTCGTCGACGTTATTCCCTTGAACGGAGTTTACATTGACCAGTTTCTCGATAACGGACTCCTACATCGCGGTGCCAGAGCTCGCCGGGCAGTTTTCAGCGAGTTTGTTAATCTGGACAAAAATATCTGCCGATAAATCGGCGCGCGATGGAAAACTGACGAGCCGAAACCTGTTATCCCGAGTAACGGTTTGTTTTTCAGAAACTCGCGAACGAGGAGAAACTCGTCCAATAGGCGAACGATTATTCCAAGAGGCGGCAAACGATTCCGCTCTATCAATCGTAAAACTGGACGTGAAACTTCTTTATTTTATCGTACTCTGTCTAACTCTTTCATTTCATATCTTTCCACAGCATATCCTAGTTATTCATTCTTTCTTTTTTTTATTTTGCTACCTTTTCTCTTCGTATTTTTCATTTGTTCATTTTTTCTACGGTTATTCCTCTTTTTTTTTGGAATTTAGCTTTTAACCCTTTCGTGACCAGTGGGACATATGTGGGACGGTCTAGCGCCAGCGGTAGCTAGACAAAGGACTACCGAAAGACGACGGCTGTGCGTGTGAGAGCGGTGTGTCGTTTGTATCTATCATTTTGTTATTTTCCATTTCCTTTATTAAACTTTACAACGTTGACCCGTTGTTGCTCCCTTCTCCCTGTTCAGTGCTAAATACTTGATCGATACTTACATCATTGTATTTAAAATCAGTTTTATTAATAATTAGGCTTAACTCTGCTAAATGAGAGAAATTCGTACGGCCGTTGAATAGTAAATAATTTATTTCAGAGGCTAATGTGATTAACTTCTTATCCTAAAGTAAATTTGTGCAACAATGTAATTCAAACGCTTACAGGAATTCAGCTAAGTAATTTCTTAATGCAACGGTATGAAAAATATTAATATTAATAATTTCGTCAATCTTCTCTATTTTTCATTTTGTGAAATTAACCGATTTGGAAAAGAAACAACTGCGCACACGTTCCACTTGAGTACTCGAACAAGAATGAATCTGAATTTAGCATTCATTATAGGCGCGATAATTAGTCGACGAATAAAAAATTCTTTAAAAAAAATTCGGTCACGAAAGGGTTAATACTTAACAGAAAACGATTTAAATTCTTGGTTAATATAATTTCTGCGATATTAATACGCTTAGAGAAATATTCAAGGCGCACATTTTTAACTGTGAATATGAATATATGGAAATTTCGATACGTTTCAATTTGAATTTCGCGCGCTGCTCCATTCGCGCGCGAAATTCAAACGGCGTAAGATCGTTTCACCAAAAAAATTCTATCTCCGAGTAATATTGATTTACTTTCTCCACGATGTGCAAACTTTTCACCTACTTTACCTTCAATATTTTAGGAATTCGCACGCGTCAGAATTTCCGCCTATTTTCTCCTATCATTTCCATTTTCAACCTACTATAATCGTACTTTTTTTTCCCTTCTCCCCGTGCTAACTATTCCACTTTTGTTCCTCTTTTCCACATCCCCTATAATGTTCCCTTATTCTGTCTTCTCGCTTTTATCATTTTTATTTTCCACCTTATTTTACCTCTCTCTCTTTCCCCCGCTCATTATTCAACTAGCTCGCATATCTGTCCCTTTTTTTTTCCTCCACCACTACCCTTACCCTCATTTTTTCCCCACGCCTCCTCTGTCTTCCTTTGTTTGTGCAATTTCTTCTCCCTCTGAGTTCGACATTTCGAAATGTCGAATTTACCATGAGCGCAATATCGGCAAGAAAAAGAGAAAAATGCTCTTCTGCTCGGTTTATTGATGCGTTGGTGAAAGAAAAAAAAAAACACTTCAGTGTCGCCTGTGCAACGCTCGATATTAACGCTTTCCTCGTGATATAAATGCAGAAGTTTGAATGAAAATAGACGCGAACGGTTCAGCTGGGAAACAATACAGCACGTTTTCGCGCTGGAAAAAAGCCGACGATTTTTCTGCTGTTCTACGGACCGCCCCAATCCGCTTCCGATGTAAATGCACCATTAATTCTACACCGCACGAAACAGAGAAAGTGTAGCGCCGGTGACTACTTCTCCAATCCCCCCCTTTTATTCACTTCGATTAAATAGAAATTCTTTTATACCGTTAGAAATCGTTGTTACATTACTTTCACGGGTATTTGTACTTTTGTTTCGTTATTATTAAAAGAATGCCTGTACCGAATGTCGAACGCGAGCTAATTCTTTCGCTGCAACGGCGAGGAGTTTAACGGAGGGAAATAAATGTGTGAGGTATACTCGAGGGAAAAATTATTTTTACTTTCCACGCAGTGCGTGAGCTGAATTATGTGATTTCTTGTGAAACAGTAAATTCGTTTAAAAAATTAGCTTATTTATAAGCGAAGATATGGAATTCTATGATAATTAATCATTTTTATTTACAATTATGTATTATAGATTTAGTTTACAACATATTTATGACAAATTTCTTTACCAACTTTGCACAGTGTCTAAGCTTTTGTTTCTATCTAAACTTTGGTGCAACTAAATTCTTAAAGCACGATTCTTCAAAATGTCTTTGCCGGGAAAGTGTGTTATTTATTTATTTCAGAAGAGAGATAGCCTTCAAGATGCTCTTTTCAATCATTACCTCAACTTCCCTTAAAGCTGAGAATTCAGAAAATTTTTTCAACATTCACACACAAATTAAAACGAGACAAATGACAAAAATTACATTTATCGTTAAAAGTAAGGAATTTATCAAAACTTCCTTGCTACGTTAAAACAAAAAGAAACCTGTTTAAAATTAAAACTATTCGTGAAATTGTTCCGAACTAATTATCTCTATGTTTCAATTTTTTCTTCAATTTCATCAAACAATTATTCTCTCCACCGACAGAGATAAAATATTCTCATTAATCATATTACGCAATTTTGTATTAAGTAATAAAGTCGTGAAAAAAAATATTACTACGTACGAACGGTGTTTTTAAAATTTTCGAAGACAAGTGTAAACATCGACAAGTTCCCTTTGCAGAAATTATTATTCAAAGAGAAACGACGAAGTAGAAAAAAGCTCGGTCGTAATGATATCTTCTTGCAGATAAAAACGTCACTGCCCCAACTACATACCGCGTTGGGCCACGAGTTGCGCAACCTCTCTCTCTCTCTCTCTCGCCGTCCGCATTATTTATTATTTAACCCCTTTTCTCCCGAGAGACTCGATAAACAGTCGCTGTTTCTCAGCTATAAAATTGCTACAACACCGCTGTTGGACAAGCGTTACTTCCTATATACTATGGATCTCTCTAGACAGCTCTTCCTTTTCTCCATTTACCCGTCGTTGAAATGCGAAATTTACGGTCGAATTGAGAAATTCGCGCGATCAACGATATAAAGAGTGGGCCACGTGAACCAGGTCATCTAATTACAATTTCTTTTATTTAAGACTTTATTAAAATTTTTATAATTAATTTCAATGGTTTCAAAGGATTGGCAAGACGGAGGACAAATTTTTCTGACGGAAGAAATGGGAAAAATTGAAAGAAGGTTTCACGTTGGATGTCAAATTTTAGAGTCCAAGCTCATTTTGAGGTTATGTCAATGAAAAAAAAAGTAGTTACGACTACGAAAAAAAAAATAGAAAAAAATGACATTTGTAAAATTATTTTTCTTCCATCTTATTCGCCTTTTGAAGCGATTTAAATTATTTATAAAAATTTTCTCGCACCACCGTAGCTAATATTTCCATCAGATAAATCTACCTTATCTAATAACACAATTTTCGTCGTAAAAATTGAAAAAATTTCATGTATTTTTGATATTCTCCAAATTTTTCTTATCTAATAACATAATTTTCACGATCAGAATTTAAAAAATTTCGTATATTTTTGATATTCTCCAAATTTTTCTTATCTAATAACATAATTTTCACGATCAGAATTTAAAAAATTTCGTATATTTTTGATATTCTCCAAATTTTTCTTATCTAATAACATAATTTTCACGATCAGAATTTAAAAAATTTCGTATATTTTTGATATTCTCCAAATTTTTCTTATCTAATAACATAATTTTCACGATCAGAATTTAAAAAATTTCGTATATTTTTGATATTCTCAAAATTTTTCTCCATTTCGAAATTTCTATAAAATCGTCGAACATATAGTTCGCAGAAGCAGCAACGAAACAACAGTATGTACCTCTTATAAAATGATTCTCCGAGCTGGTCAGAGCAACCTTTCAAACAAGAAGAACACTTTACACGAAACATTCAATGAAGAAAAATGTATTTCAGAGATATGAAAAAGTTTTGAGTTTCAAGAAACGATAGGTAAATCCCCGTCGTACGGTTCGAACGGTTATACTTTTTCCTTTTGTTATACCTTCAGAAAGAAAAAGTATATCCCAGTTTCAGCACCACCGAAGAGTAACGTTCACGTGAACTGCTCTGTCCACGAAATTTCGACGGTTTCCAAAGCCGGGGGATTTACCTGTTTTCTTGATGCTCAAATTGTCGATGGTTTGGAAGATTAATGGATGTAACCAAGGGACGATGCTCGTGCTATTGGATGAGCACGATCGTCGGTTTGCTTGCTTCAGACAGAAATACAAAATGGATGATTGAGCAAGCTGGGCTCTACGACTGTTTCAGGAGTGACCATCTTGCTATCGCTGACGGTGTTCCTGAACCTGGTCGCCGAGACCCTGCCCCAGGTCTCCGACGCTATACCTCTGTTAGGTACATTAAGTTTTTGCAAACAGACGTGTATCTGTGTGAATTTCGTATGATTTTTCTGTTCGTCGAATTTTTCTTTCTTTTTTTGGTTGTATTTGGTAAATTTTTATGAAAAAGTGTTCCTTTTTTTAGATTGACAACAAGTTTTTGTAGTTACGTATTACTTAAAGGTGAGAGTTTATTTTTTTTGTTTTGTTGTTTATTAGCATTGATTTGAAGTATTTTTTTGTATAACGTAGAGTTAGAGCGGCTACTTTTATTGAATGATATTTTGAATATATCCTTTGGAATACGCCTTTGCTTGATGAGGGAAAGCATTGATTGATGAAATTTCATAAGCGTAATTATTCTGTAAGTTTTAATGGAACGGTGCATTCGGTGTTCTACTTTCTTCGAAATACGAGGTTTGCGAGAAGGCAGTGTTGGGAGAATTTAGAAGTTTGGAACCTTTTTTTTAACCCTTTTGCTACGGCAGTTCGCTCCGCCGGAGCGCCGCCACTGATCGGGACTCCACGCCAAAAGTGTACACATTGCGCGTGGCCAGTCTTCTTCGGTTTTTTCCTGCCGGCATATAAAATAAGGGAAAATGACTTTCTGTTAATCGCACGGGATTATCGTTGCCTCTTCGTTGATGTTGAATTAAATTTCGATGATACTTTTCAAGTATTTCCTTTATGTCGCGTCGATGCCGTATATATCCGGCGCTCGTACGCACAGGTCGTCGCTCGGATGCCGTATATATCCGGCGTTCGTAATGAAAGGGTTAACTACGTGCTTAGGTATAACAATATCGAGCATATGCATGCAATCTGAGTGAAAAAAAAACAAATTGTTTACAGATTTGGTAATGATAGGGGAAATGAATAGTTAAAGAGTAATATAAGGGAAAATTTTTTGTACGAATCACAAACATATAGGGAAGTACAAAAGAGTACAGAAAACTGTTTCTGTCGTTGCTTACTTATCGTTATCAAACGTTCTTTACCGCAAACAATAAAAAAGATAATACTTTACGCCTTCAATCGACAAATAGTAAATATAAATAAAAGCGAAAGTTATCGCTTAAAATATTTTATTTCTCGAATCTTACAACTCAGAATTTAAGTTAAAATAAAAGTGAACCTTGCAAAAATTTACTATCGAAATAAAAATTTCGACATATTGTTTCTAACAGCTCTATAATTTTTTATAATAATATTCATCGTTCCAAGGCATACATTTAATGCGTTAACATTCTCACACGATTATTGCGATAATTTTCAAGCGAAAGTACCGAGCATAAGAAATTTTTCGCTTAAGTACAAAACTGGCACTAAAAAGGTTAATATTGGGTTGAAAGTTCGAAAGTCTCCATATTCTCCGCTACATAATTGTTTCTTACTTATTCTTTTCTTTTTACAGCCCTATCTAATATTCTACCTCTTGCCGCACTTACGAGTACATTTTCAGCCTTTCATTTGCGTTTTTTCATTGCTAAAGCCCACCAAAAATATCTATTGATAACATGCATACTCGTCACATACTGCTTTACGAGTTTCCTAAGGGAAGTACAGCTATGAAACCAGTAAAAGAAACATTTCTGAACTGTACGGAGAAGATGCTGTAAAGATTCGTACGTTTCAAGAATGGTTCAAAAAATTCTCATCAGGAAATTCTGGCTTGGATAATTTAGCACGTGGTGAGCGATTAAAAGCGATAGATAAGGATAATTCGATAGCAACAATTGCCATAAATCGTCGATTTATTATCTAATTAAATAGATATTTATTATCTAACGAAAACATTATATACAGTAGTGCACACATAAGCGTTCGCAGTCGGGACCAAATGCGGACGCTTAAGTGGGGAGGTGACTTCTGCGAATTTAACTAAACGAAAGAGAGAAGATGTGTCTGAGTGGGATGCCGATATATCAAGTGTCAGTTGTTTACATTCAGGAGTCGATGTCGAATTACTTTGTTTCACACAACACGCTCGAACACCACTCCGATGTCCCATTTCCGAGAATTGGTGGGAGCCGATATATCAAGTGTCAGTTGTTTACATTCAGGAGTCGATGTCGAATTACTTTGTTTCACACGGCACGCTCGAACACCACTCCGATGTCCCATTTCCGAGAATTGGCGGGGATAGCGACGGACGCTTAAGTGTGCAAAAATGCGGACGCTTATGTGTGCACTACTGTACTTTGTTTCACACGGCACGCCGAACACCACTCCGATGTCCCATTTCCGAGAATTGGTGGGGATAGCGACGGACGCTTAAGTGTGCAAAAATGCGGACGCTTATGTGTGCACTACTGTACTTTGTTTCACACGGCACGCCGAACACCACTCCGATGTCCCATTTCCGAGAATTGGTGGGGATAGCGACGGACGCTTAAGTGTGCAAAAATGCGGACGCTTATGTGTGCACTACTGTACTTTGTTTCACACGGCACGCCGAACTCCACTCCGAAGTCCCATTTCCGAGAATTGGCGGGGATAGAGACGGACGCCTAAGTGTGCAAAAATGCGGACGCTTATGTGTGCACTACTGTACTTTGTTTCACACGGCACGCCGAACTCCACTCCGAAGTCCCATTTTCGAGAATTGGTGGGGATAGCGACGGACGCTTAAGTGTGCAAAAATGC